AGAGGGAAGCAAGAAATAAAACCAGTGAGGAAAACCAGCCTCAATAAATTCACATGTGCTGAAAAACCCATTGGAGGCAATAGTAGGAAATCAGATAGCAGAACGAGTGAGGCTGGGTCTTGATAGCTATAGGAGTGATGCTATCTTCAGGTAATGTCCATGCATGAAGAAAGATGACATTAATAGTTAGGGCTCGTTCTTCTGTCATAGAAAATGACCTGCCTGCACTAAACCTGGCAGAAGAGAGGTCAGTATACTCCAGTGTCCTGTCTCCAGGAGTGGCCAGTAGCAGCTGCTTAGAGAAGAAGTGTGAGAAAGAACAGAGCAAGACATCTCGGTCTGTCCTCCCAGCTTCCAGGAATCAGCAGGACTTCCTCAGCTAGTGGCTGTATCCAGACCATCAACTTTAACAGCCACCAGTGGACCTCTCCTTTGTGCATTTTCCTAACCCCATCATGAACCCATCTGTACTTTTTGGCTTCTGCAACATCCTCTGGCATCAAGTTCCATGCTGTGATTATGCGTACAGCATAAATCAAATACTGCCTGCTGTTTGCTTGCTGCCTGATCACTTCATTGGCTGCTGTGCAGCTCTTGTGTTAAAAAAATAAAAGGAAGCAACTAATTCTGCCCAGTTCATCATCTGTTCTCCATTCATGATTCTATAGATATCTCTCAGACCTCTCCGTGGACATCTTTTCTTCATGTTGAAGTCCTAACTTATTGGGAGAAAGCCACCCCATATTTACGATCATCCATGTCTTTCCCCAGACCTTTTAATGTTCCACCACCGGCTGCCATCCCTCCTTCCCTCCCCATGGTCCAGGTTATACATATTGCACAGTAATTACAGCTTCCTGGGGTCTCTACCTAACATGGGGAGTGCAAATCAACTCACCCAGATTGTCTGTCACTTGGTAGGAATCCCGGAAATCTTTCATGCGAAAGCCGATGACATCAATGAAATCCTCCACAAGCCTGAACAACTCCTTGGCGTTTGGCCCTATCTGCAGAGAGAGGGAGAATACTTAGTAGCACAGATACTAATGAGCACAGCGTGAGTTCCTCTGAGGGCAAAGGTTTCTGTCCTCACGCGTGTACTGGAAGAATACGCTGGATATAATAGAGTATTAGGGAGCTGTGGAGAATGAGGACTGAGAAATTCTAAAAGGAATCCTAGAAAAATAAAAAGAAAGGGGCAAGAAATAATATGGCATTCAGACTGATAAAACTTAGGGTGGAGGGCAATATCTCAAAGCAAAGGGAAATATCTGGGACTCTCTGGAGCAGAAGATAACCTATCCATCTCCTTTCCTTCCCTAGGATTACCTCTACTACCAGCAACCCCATCCAGAACAGGTAAGATACTGCTGATGTTCATTATGGTCCTGTTCCTGCAGTTAATGCAAGAAGAGAAACACTCTGGGACAGACTCTTAGCAGCCATGATTTCAGGTAGCTCCACTTTCTTTCCAAGTCCATTGACTGGAGTATTTGGCCCAACCTAGTTGTCAACAAGCCAGAGACATTTGCAATTGCACATCCAGAGACATCATGCCAGAGAGTGAAGATGTGTTCATGTTGACGTATTGAAGCTTTGCCTTTTGTCAAATTCTGAGAGCCTTTCCCAAGCTTTAGAGTTCCCTGACGCTCAGGTATTGTGATACTTGGCCTGAGAAACGTATTTGGGCTACTTCTGATGGTATATATATGTTACCTGCTGAGAGGAAGCCCAAAAAACATTACCTCCCCATAGTTAATTTTGCTATCACTCCACTGAAAGCAGCCACACCAAAGGACCTCCATGGTCTAATGTCAAATCTCAGGCACCAGATCACATAATCCCATCCAGAAAAGCATCACGGTCTGGTTTTGTGCTTTCCTGTTTTGCTGGACGGATCTCAATCTCCAAATAACCAATTTGCTTCTTCTTGGGACCAGGCTGTTTTGGCATTTCTCTGTCTCTTTTTTCTTTCCTGGTGTTTCCCCAGTGATAAAGATATTTGCAGTAATTCTTCTTCACCTGTATTTTGCCAGGCTAACACAAAGCTGTTAAACAATAACTAGTTTTCCGGTGACAGATTTCATAAAAGATAATCCATCTGAAATGAGCTGTGCTGACTACCTGTCTTTTCCTCAAAGTACATTTGCCTACGGGGGCTTAGCAAATACCACGAGAGGCTGAAGAAAAGCAATTCAGCTCCTTACATGTCTTCTTTTCATTTTCCACCACTTTCACAGCATTTTTCACTCCTCATCATAATCCAGACGTCCTGAGGTGGCTGAGCAGAGCTGAAGGGACAGCTGGGGACGAGCAGGACAGCAGGATGGGATGGAGGCAGAAGGAAGGCTGAGCTGGCGAGTGTATGGGCAAGGAGCACAGGGGTGGCCATGTGTGTGTCTCTCTGTCTATCTGAAGGAAGCTTGGTAAGACTAAAACTGTATCAAGATCAGATCAAAAAGTCCTGCCAGTACAGCAAGTGTACACAGAAGGAGGAGAAGTGAGTGAGGAAGCTGTTTTTAACAGTATACTTTTATATTCTATTACAGATTGAAATCACAAGGTCAAACTAACCCCAGGCTACACTGCCCATTGTCATTCAGGCTTTTATCATATAATGGCCAACACAGTCTCCTCAAAAAACATGGTAGCCCTTCTCTGAATACTTTTCTGGGTTGTTTTGGTTTTTATTTTCCTTGAACAACATCTCTGTCTGGAGGGGGGCACAGGACACTGAGATGTGAGACTGCGATGAAGTTGGGTTTACTTTTAATGAGCAAATAGGGAGCCGAAGACCTTGTTTTAAAAGAGCTGGTTAATCTTGCAAAATGTGGGGCGTGAGTTTGGTCCAGCAGCTTTGAGGGAGAAGGACAGAGACTGCTGAAACCCTTGTTGTCATCCAGTTCATGAAGATTTCTGTGTCCTAAAGTCATGGTATTGGGCTGTCATCTTGGTTCCCACTAAAATATGCGCCAGGCAAACATTCTCCCCATGATGGTCCCACTCCTCATGTAGGTTGGGGACCTACCTGCTGGTGATGCTGGCAGCAGGCTGGGCTGTATCTATCTATAGGTGCAAGGGAAAGCTGGTGGGAACTAATTGCTACAGAGAGTAAGCTGCAGCTGTTTTTAAGGGGATCAACAGGGTTTCTCTGTTGTCATGACAACTTGACAGTCTCCTCTGCTCTGTGCTGAAATATGTACACGCACCTGTAGGCTTGAAACTGAGTGTCTGGTCACAGGCTCACAGAGTCAGAGAATGGTTGAGTTTGGAAGGGACCTTGGAGATCATCTGGTCCAACCTGCCTGCTCAAGCAGGACCATCTAGAGCCAGTTGCCCAGGACCATGTCCAGATGGTCCTTTATCTTGTCTGGAGCCAGACCATGTCATCCTCTTCCAAATGCAATGGGAAAACACCAGATCTCAGCGAGAAAAGAGGAGAAGAACAGGTTCACAAGGCTGCTCAGCTCCTGGTGGAGTTCCTGTTGCATGAAGGAACTGTATTTGGGTCCCTGACTCACGTTGTGGACTGCCAACAATTGTGCCAGCACCTGCTGTTAAGGGTTTTTCCCAGAGGACTTCCCTGGTTGGTGTGAGTATAACTGGACTCTGGGGTTGCTTTTTGTGCTGAGTGATTTTTTTCTTGATTGTTTGTTATTTCCAGACCTCTTCAAGGAATTTTGTAGCAGCAACAGGTGGTTAAAAAGGAGCTGCCATGTTCTGATCCACACCTCTGGGTACTTCCCACAGGTCTGATCTCTCACAAAGGCTGAGTTATATTCTTTGTCCAGGTTATTTTTCAAGCTGAGACCAAGGCGAGCTGGTGATTCTGTTCCGAGGTGCAATAATGAAGAACGAAGCTGGAAGGAACGAGCATTAACATGGGCCTGTCCACCAGAGCTGCTGGTCTGAGGCAGAACTTTTTTACTCTGATGTGATCCCCAAAGGCTGTAGTGAGATGACAGCATCGAGCAGCCCAAGAGCTCACCAAGAGAATGGGAAAGGGACAAGGAGTAGGTCTCACACAAACCCAAACAGAGAGTTCAACTGGGGCAGAAGAGACAATGGGCAAATAAGGCAGAGATAGAAAAACAAACAACACCTTTCCCTGATACATGAGGGTTTAGCCACAGAATTAGTCAGCAGGATCTCCAACACTGAGAGGAGAGAAATAAAGTAAAATATAACTGAACCCTTGCTCAGATCATGCTGAGCAGAGCCCAGCTCTGAAGTATGAAAATCCCACCTGTCCTGCATCTTTCCAGCCAGGAACTCAAACCCATGTAATCCCACTTCTTTATCCTGGCAAGGGGAGAAGAGGGGAATTATGGCAAGCCAGGAGGGTTATCAACTCCAAACCCAGCCTGACCTTTGAGAACTGTCCAAAATTTGGTATTCACCCCCAGTTTTTCCCTGTTCTTCATGCAGAGACTCTGGCTTAGTGCTGAGATCCTGTGGCTCACTGAGTTACTCCATAAATATAACTCAGCCTTGGCACTGAGCTCACCCGCACGACCAGTTGCATGAATCAGCTGATTGGCAGTCAACTTTGAAGCTGACCACAGCTGACCATGTCTGGATTGCCTGTCTCTTTCATCATAATTGTTTATCCAAGGAGAACAGCATTGGTGGATGGAGATACTTTGTGGTCTGTGGTTGAAACAGATACATGTTGCACACAATGCATCGTGAGCAAGAAGAACTAGGAGGTCATGTAGACAATTGGAAATTCCCCTTGTCATGGTTTAAGCCTATGCTGAAAGCCTGTCTTGTTTCAGGGAAGGTGCTGAAGGTTCATACCAGCTGAGCTTCTTCCCATTTGTCCCGATTTTCCTCCGATAAAAGATTGCTGATGATCTGGACAAAATTCTGGAGAAGAGATACAAAAGAAGAAGAAAGAGGTGGTTAGCCAAATGTAGCATAGGCTAGGAAGGACACAGTGATGCATGAGGAACATGTGAGAATCAGCTAGGCTCCAAGAAGGTACTCATGGTCCCATTCCTAAAGGGTCCTACAGCATTTCACAGGCCTCTGCCCCAAGGATGTTAACGGCAAAACAGGTTGCAGTAAGGCCTTTTTCCGAAGGCCTTCACTTTGACCACTATATCTGATAAGGCATTGGACTTGGGAATATGTCTTGTATCCATTACTAAAGGGTTTTAAGAGCAGATTAGGTAGATGTCTGTCAGAAACTAGTTATAAACAGATGATCTTGCCTTGCATAAATCCCTTCCTACCCTATTTTCTACTATTTCTGTTATTTCCAGCATAGAGAAACCTTATGATCCTCTTTAGTCTAAGACCAGGCAAGAGCACCAGTGATTGATCAAGAAGGTGCTATGCATGGTAGTCTCTTTGCAGCATACTATGAGACGGAAGGAGATAAGATATTTCAAGACCATTGATCTTTTTCTCTAGTTTTACCACCCATTGCAGATCCTGTAGGATCAATTTAACGTTTCAAGTTGTGGGGTGATGACCTATCCCAAGGGTATATCTTGTAGCCACTCTGCATGCAACTGCTGAAAGTGAAACCCTGGGATGAGAAGCCATCAAGACATTCTCCCACGTCAACATCCAGATACCCAATGCCACAGGATCATCTTACCTCTAGCCATTAGACTGCAATCCTTTCCAGATAATGTTCTCATATCAATTAGACTCCACAGTAAAGTGCTATCAGGTTGAAATAGTTCAGAGTGACTTTGGTTTTCAAGTTCTTACTTTATAAGCCAGGGAGAACCACCTCGAAAGGAGAGTTTGTTAACACACAAAGACACTTCACTTGGGCAGAAAATAATCCGGCTTTTCATCAGCATTGTATCAGCTACAAAGGAGGTAATCAAACCCTGAGCCCTGTGCATACACACACGCCTGTAACCTAGCCTTGGTCTTCAGGATACACATCTCAGCTCACCTGCACATCCCCAGAAGTTGGGCTATGATAAGCCCTACGGAAGATCTCTGTCATGTTCCTGAGTATGTCGATGGTGGACAGCAAGTCCCCACTGTAGCTGGTCCCATCCTGGGAGATTTCCACAAGGTTTTGGAGCACTTCTGACAGCCCATCTCCCATCAACCCACGCTGAGCTTTGGAAAGATGTTCCCTGGTCTGAGAAACAGAAAGAAACATGACAAACACTTTAGGGACAATCAAAGTCAAGTTAATGAGCTCAGTGAAGGAATTGCTGGGGGAAGGTTTTTGACATTCCTTATAATTCAGAGTGCAGATTAGATGAATCTGACAATCTTTGCTGGCCTGAGAGCCTGTGATATTTTTAAAATGGTAGGAGAGCAGAAGTGAAATTTTCTGTATGCCCACAAATAAAAGGTTGTGTGAAGGTTCATAAGAGATTATTCTACTACCCAGACACTATTCTGTTCGTAACCCAAGGCCAGAAGTTTTTTACCCCTAAACCTTGTTTTTTTATAACCAATTTGGAACTATTTTAGGACAGACTGTAGCTTGTCTTGAACAGGAGAGGGCAGTTCTCATAAAGGCAATGCCGTTTTAAGGCAAGCTGCAGGAGACCAGCAGAAATTCATCACAACAATGAATTTAAGACTAACAAAAGATAAGTGGTTTATTTAAAAGTGATATAGTCACAGTGATCCTTACTGATAATGTGATGTGAAAGACCTGGTAGGACCTGGATTCTGCCGAGCTAGATATTAAAATACTCAGTCAGGAACCATCCCTTGTCCATGGAGTGCTCATGCATCACAAGTTAAGCAGACAAAAACAGTAGGAGAAAAGCAGGGCAGAGCTGGCATCTCCCTTCCACAAGGAAATGCTGCTTTCTTTCTTTATTGTAACTATAGCAGTGTAACAAGTATTTGGTGGGATCCCAAACCTGCTGAGCTGAGAAGTCGGTCTGCCTTACCATCATCTGTATGTTCCTGTAATCAATAGAAACACACTTGATGTATGTTGGAGGCTCCCAATAAGCTATCCCTTCTTCATCTAAAATGCATCTTCGAAGGATCAGCCCTGGAAGAGGAAAGAAACAAATATGGGAGTGAGGGCAGCAGGATGAAAAGCTAAGCACCTTCATGGAGGTCACCCAGAACTGGTCAACGCATCCATGTAGGCACACCTACCAGCACAAAGAGCAGCAGGGGCAAATGCAGATGCCTAAACAACACGTGCAAGCACATAGGAGAGGTTGCTTTTATTTCCTTCTTCTGCATTTTTTTATTGAGGGGCAGGACAGCAAAAGGAACTGGGAATGAAAACAAAACCTAACAGATGGGACATGGCTAGTCAAGGTGAAAGAATGTTTCTTCTTGTCCTGGAGGGCAGCTTTCTTCCCAGCTCAGGAAGTCCCACGAGCCTCCCCAGGTGGCGTGGTCTGGTACTTGTAACTAAACCAGCCACAGTGGCTTTTGCTGCCTCCC